GGCTGCAGGAATTGAGAGTATCTAAAGTATTTGATGTATGTGTCAAACGATTCCATCAGTTCCAGACAGGCTTATATCTGGGATACGGGTAGGCTGCTGTGAGATCAACAGCACCACTGAGAAATCACTGCCGACATAGCCGGCCCTGAAAGCCTTCAACAATTTCGTTGATGCACACCAGAATGTGAGATACGATGATATTCTTGTTCTGTTACCCGTGCTGAATCCATTGATTCCTCAGTTTTGTTGCGGCCGCGACATAGAAAAACCTCACATCACAGCCTTCAATCGCCTTGTAGGCGTTGTTGGCACGCCACTCCTACGACGTACGTACCAGTGCCCTTCTTATCACTTACAGCAAAGCTTATTTCGTGAGAAGCATGGTTTTGGGCGCCCGACCATGGTCGAGGAGATCCCGGCTTCGGCACTAATTTAGCAAAGCTTCGCAGAGTCGTTGTCGTGGCATGTCTCGTGAGGTAAGCTTTATGTCTGCTTTCTGGCATATCGCTTAGGAGCATCTTCAGAATATCACGATTCATTGGAAAATCAAGTAACCCAGGCCACTGAAGCTTCATGTTCTCTCTTATGCTACCGTCAATTCTGTGGCTACCCAGTGAATGTAGAATATGCTTCATAGTGTGGTGTGATTGAGAGTCTTCGGGCGGAAGAACCTGAGCTCTTCGGCGGTACGTCTCCGCTTATTAGGTCGGCGTCCGTCAAGCGGGCCGCTATCCGACACTCGCTTCCAAGCCACGAATACTTTCGCTGCCTTTCGGATTTATAAAAAAAAAGGCCGTCTTGCTTGTGGATGCCTTTTAGTCTTCGTGATAGATTCATAGGTGAAAGTCGGAGTGCGTGCCGCCGTCACTGTCCATTCTCAGTCTGGAGTCTGCTTTCAATTTTCTAAAACGCGCGCCGCGTGGAAGGCCCTGGCGGCCTTCAAAGCGTTTGACAGTTGGCAACAGACTGAAGCGTGGTACCTCTTTTTCTATCCAGTATGTGCGCGGTGGAGAGTTCTCCGTCTCAGCTAGCTTTGTGGTGGGACCCGAGCATAAGAACGTCTTTGTCGAATACCAGGCGGTTCTGTATCGACCACGCTCGAGCTAGTCAAGCCTGGACTTGGCTTATTCGGCGGGTCAAGGGTAGAATTGGTCCGCAGCTTTGCAAAATTGCTGCGCCGCAAGTACTTATTTCATTTCAACTATTTCCTTCGTCACTTCATCACTCTTCCACTCTTCTCTCCACAGCATGGCCATTCTTTCAGTACGGCGGTCCTTGAGCATACTTGCCTGTATAACCACCTTCATTTTTCTGTCTGGAACAGGTTACAACTTTCATGATCGGTCAACTCGCGGAATACCCATAACATATGAGTATACAACTCAGCGTATCAAAGAGTACAGGCGCATGTTGACGAAAGACGGGACTCGGTTACTACCAAGTGCTGCATGGAGCCCGCTCAGCCTAAGCGAGTGTATCTTTGGCATGCCCGCCTACTACGCACCTTGTGTCGCACAAAAACTATCGAAAAAGGTGTTATACGCAGAGGAACTGTTATATCCAGCATTTGAGATCCGACAGCCCCATTTTGCGGTCGAAGAGCACAAAGATCGCTGGCGAAGCGCCGCTTTGAGAGTGAAAGAGCGCGGAACGCTGCAAGACAGTGGGTGGTTCGTGTATAAAGGTCAATCGGGCCAGAATTTCGTGAGTGGTCTCCAATAGTTCATAACTGGCACGTAAATATCAATTGTAGGTGTTTGGAAATGTCTCTTACACGCACCCAAACCGATATGATAGCTGGTCCCCAGAGGCTTGTATGGGAAGCCTCGTATCGTCAGAAGACATCCGGTCGTTCGACCCCGTGCATGCCCTCACTGTCCCTGGTCATCCTGCTATCCGGAAAAGCGCCATAGTTGTACTTTCCCCAGACTCCAACTCTTTTCAGCACCACCTTGACCGTGTCACGCATATCTTAATGCAAGGCTCGTATCTCACCTTTGGAGAACACCCGCACGTAATTACAGGCAAACACGGAACTGCCTTTGTAGATCAGCTATGGGAACGCCTAGGATACGGTCCGCAACGTGTACTGCACAGTCAGAGAGAGGATACATATGCCGAAAAGTTGATTTTTTCATGTCGTGCGGTATTGGTGCATCCTTGGCTGTCGCTGAAGACACTCGAGGCATTCTCGATTGATTACATGAAGGAGTCTTCAACACGAAATAAAGTATGTGGCTTGGATCCTGTGTGGTTTTCATATCGTAACAGCTTACCTAGATCGTGTATATGTCGCGATCCAATGGACGTGCTAAAAACGGTGGTCGTAAGGTTCTTAATGAGTCGGACCTTCTCAATTCAATCAGGACATTACTTGAAGAGAGAGCCAAGGGCGAAGAACTTGTAGTATTTGACGAGAAAGACTTCACAACCGCCTCTGACCTTTTCGAATGGTTCAACAACAACGTTATGGCGGTCGTCGGTCCCCACGGAGGTGCGATGTATCATCATCGTTGGGCTGCTAGAGGGACACTCATAATTGAGTTCATGCCCACCAGCTTCACGTCGATGGCCATATTCGAGGAAGCCTCTGTGCTTTCTCAGACGTATGCAGCCGTGGTGGTTGAGCCAAGTGGGTCGGATGGGAAGGATATGACCATCGATCCCGAGCATGTCCTTTCGCTTCTACGACGACATCTGGGAATCCCTATGCGGAGACCTCGTCATGCGGAGCACATGGGATTTTTGTCTGACGAAGTACATGATGCTATAGATGATGTTGAGGACGAGGGTTCCTTGGCAGAGGATCCGTTGAAAGTCAGCTATCAATGGGGTGGTAAGGAGCTTGGCCTGTAATCTAACGCTGTATCGCTTATAAGTAAATCAATTTTGTAATGCTAGTACTTTCATCTCACTAATAATAATGTAAACACATGTGTAAAGGCGGTTGAGGCTTACATAGTCTCCGGACAGTGAGTGATACCCAAACGTAGTAACGTTCGAACACGAGGCGCCGTGGACGGGGATCACGCGAGCTGCTTAAATAGTTTTATCCATGCCAAGTACACGAGATAAGGACAACCATGCCGTTCCCCCTACTCGAGCTACCCAACGAGCTTCTATACAAGATCTTTGGAGAACACTTTGATGAGGACCAAGTCCCAGAGTTGTTCACAATTTCTCTTACGTGCAAACGCCTGCACGACATTTGTCTTACACATTATCTTTCTCGCTTTGGTATCAGCCATCCTACGGAGACCTGCAGCTTTACCCTTCGAAACGCCGCTGAACCCCGACCAGATGCGATATCAGGTCTCCGGGTCGCTCTGTTTGTCCCGTCAATCAGGCATCTGGTATGCACGTTCGACGACGCGCTTCCGGAAAGCGAAGCGCCTTCCCCTGCTACTATCATTGCAACCGTCCAACGACTGCAGAGTCTTCTTTTGAAGCTCAAATTCGTCGGCAGGATAACGTTGAGATTTCGCGGCAGAGACTGGAATAATGGTAGTGTCAACGTTACAGATGCATTGTTGGCTTCATGGTCATCTGCCATTGGCGATCTCATCAATCTAGCACTGGATAAATCATGCACATATCTGTGCATGGTGGACGGTAAAGTAATGACTTATGCCTATCAATTTTCTCGTGCGGGACGAGGTTACCCATCGAACGTCTTGACCACCAGTAGGCGCACAGCGATCCGAGGGCCAGATTGGACATTTCGGCGCGTCAAGATGGGTACGTCGACTATCCTCGTCGACGAAGCCACCATTCCCAATAAATTACACTCTTTGGACATCCAATCGTCGATGCTCCTACTTCCTCCACTCTCCCACTGGACGTTGTCCGTTCTGGCTGTCATTACTTCTTTGACCATATCCCATGTCAGTCTAGCTGGACATATGTGGACCGCGCTGCTCCCCACAGTCGCTCAATACGCGTCGGGTATCGAAGAGCTGCGTATCGCTGGGTGTCCAGATATCACCATCGATGATCTCGTTGCGTTTCTCGCACTGTTACCCAACTTGAAGATACTCACACTATCTGACGAGGAGCAGTACATACCTGGACCATCTGCGCCTGTCCCGAAACTGACAGAGCTGGTGCGTGTCGAGGCTCCGTGGAGGATTCTTTTACATATTGTGCAAGGGCCCCTGCCGAGTTTGAAGGAGGTACGGACGTTCCCCAGACGCACTCCAAGAAGAGGGCTGGATTGGGAGGGGACAGGCGCAGTGCTGAGGGTGATGAGAGAATGTTTCAGAGAGCAGGAAATCAGGCCCGTGGTGATCATACGGATCCGGGTTGATAAGGGATGGTTATCAAGAGTCGAAACTAGGCCGTCGACTGGCGTACGGATGGCACTGAGACTTGTGAAGGTGGTGGAAGTGGAGCTGGTGGAAGTGAAGGTTGATGTTGGAGTCTTGGCGGCCTGGCTTGGGGGTGCTTTTGACGCTGTTAGAGAAATACGGATATTGGGGAAGGTACAGTCATGTTGCGGAAATGTAGAGGACATCGAGCAAGCGGTGAAGAAAGAGGTTAAGCTGGTTGGGAGGATAGTCGTGGAAGAACGAGCGGACCATTAGTACTTAGTATATCCAATGATCACAGTTCTCACAACGACAGTTGGTTATTGAGCCAGGGATATCCTGATGTTTCTTTGGCGCTTATTATTTAAGCGACTGCAACTGGCACAGCTTACTACGCTACATAGAACGGTGCTCTCTATGTAAATCAATTATTCCTACACTTATGCCTCAAGAGTGATTAATTTCATTTGAATGCCCGCATGTCAACTCCCAAGTGGTAGTATGTACACCAAAGCTTCTGGACTCGCATCCTCTGGGTAGAGGTGGGGACTGAGGACGTCGTCTCAAGTAAGATTGTAAGTTTCATTGTTTCAACCAAGTTAGCAGTTACCACTGACGAGTATTATAATTTCTAACTTCTAAGTGATAGACTAAAACAATATGAAAATATAACTCATACTTGAAACTCTCAAATGACCAACGTGGGGATCGAACCCAAGACCTTCGCGTTATACACATCAGTATTAGCACGACGCTCTAACCAACTGAGCCAGTCGGCCGATATCAGCGTACTTCTTAAGAAATTAATATCAGCAGCAATAGTCACTAACGACTCAGAGCTCATTACCAATGACCGATCGCTTTGTCTAACCATAACGCCTCTGACACGGGCCAATTGGGCGTCCTACAATGGCGCGTGGTAATCGAGCCTCAGAATCTGTGGCACCTATGCAACCGCCACCACTGGCCCTACCTGTCGCAGAGTTTGAAAAAGTCGAAGAGTCTTCAAAGGTCAATAATGGCGTTCACGACAACCAAATGAAGGCTTATGGATGTACGCCAAATCCACGCGTCTTTTCCTCTTGACCATCGCTAAAATTTCTAGTTTACAGTCAACGATCTGTCAAACTATCAAAGACCTGACCACTACGTTCGTCATATTGGTTCGTTTTCGCCGGCAAAGACTATCTACTCTATGCTGAACCTCGTCCCAAGAACCGTTGGAGTTGGACCTCGCCACACAGGTCGAGTATGATATGGATGAACAAGGTATATAGTGTTCGTATTGGAGACACACATTCTTATTGACCTGATAGACGAGGAATGGCTGATTGCCGTGAACGCGGATAGGAAAAAGATGCAGGTCGACACGGTTTCTTACGAGACGTTTGAAATTATCATGGACAGATTGGAGAAGGAGTGGTACAATCTGGTACGCGTTGTAATACCGGCCGTTGCTGTGGATATTGACCCTGATTAATCAGACCAAAAACATTCCTAAACCCCATTTCGATATGCCCTCAGAAGATTCTACCTGCGCGATATGCGACGATGCAGAGGGAGAGAATAGCAACGCCATCGTGTTTTGCGATGGATGCAATTTGGCTGTTCATCAGGGTACGCCAGTGCCTAGTCTGTTACCCGAATACCTCCTGAAATTGCTACATGTCTAGAATGCTATGGTGTACCCTACATTCCTGAAGGAATTTGGCTATGTCGCAAGTGCAGCACCTCCCCAGAAACGCCTGTCGTCAGTTTCATACATGACTCTCTCAGCACTTTTTCCTGACATATACTCCTAGGAATGCTTTCTATGTCCCAATGAGGGTGGCGCGTTCAAGATGACCGACCACGGGAAATGGGTCCACCTTCTATGTGCCATGTGGATTCCAGAGATGACCGTCCAAAACGAGGTCTACATGGATCCAACGATCGCGTTCGAGGACAAGCTCATGGAAAGGATGAAGAGATTGGTACTATCGACATAATCTCTCCTCTGATTTCATGAGTGCTAACACAGTCCATCACAGAAATGCAGCGTATGCAAAATTCGAACGGGAGCATGCATACAATGTGCCATCAAAAGTTGCTACACGCCTTTCCATGTGACTTGCGGCCGGAAAGAGAAATTTCTGCTTCCCATGAAAAATCTCCAAGGGTCCGAACCTGTGGGGACACTCAAATGCTATTGTGACAAACACCTTACCGTACGTGATTTGCAGTGGTCTTCACTCTAACTACTCAACTCCGTACCCAGCCGGCGCAAAAAACTGCTCGAGAGACAGCAAAAACTGACGATGAACAAAGCGTCGAGAAGATTTCCAATACTGCTCGTGCCCATGCCAAGGCTTTTCAGACAGGAGCGCCTCTCGTACCGTGGATCATCGTAGACAGGATTGCTCAATACATCGGGAGGATTAACGTGCGCAAAAAGGTCGAATTCATCATTCTCGTGTGCAAATACTGGAGTCTTAAGAGGGAAGCGAGGAGAGGTGCGCCCCTTTTGAAGCGACTACATTTGGAAGCTTGGCCTTCTAGTACAAGAAATCAGTCCCAGACTACCGCCGAAAAAAACCAGAAGAAGACTGTAAAACTTAACATTACTCTTTATTTTTCGAATCTGAACTTTTTGGTAGATGCTTAAACGTCTACGCAAAGATCTTGACTATGTCAAGCGGCTGTCAGTCAAGAGTTACAAACGAGAGATGCGTAAACTTGATCAATTACATCTCATTCAAGATGTTTTGTCAAAATTCATATTCCCTAATGAGCCACGATTACGCTCAGCTTTTGAACGTATTACAAGGTGAGTCGTTGTTATGGGAAGGAGTTCATGATCTCAAAGAATCACATACAGTGTCGATAAAAATGGGTATTTTCAGAATCCTGTCTCGAAGCTCAAGGTCCCCGATTATTTCGACATCATCAAGCGTCCCATGTGCTGGAGTATAATTGAAGGAAAATTAGATCGGCATGAATATTGGGACTTCCAAGCCTTCAAAGTGCTACCTCTATCTGGTTCTTTGAGTTTAACTGACATTTGAATCTAGGATGATATTCATCTCGTCTGTAACAATGCCATAGCTTATAACAAGGCCGGATCGCCTTATTCCAACACGGCCAAACGGATTCTTAATGCTGCGGACCCAATTTTCACGGAGCTTTATGAACAGTGTCTACCACAGCCATCCGAATGCCCTCCAGCAGAGGGTGCCATGGAAGTCGACGTTCCACCGACACAGTCGATGCCCTCTGTACCCGCCCCGGCAGAAAATGGGATGTATGTAGGCAATCTCGAATTGGAATCTGGACAGAGTCACGATCCCACAGCGGACATGAATGCTATGGAGGTGGACGTTATACACGCAAAACCCGAAGTTGGGGATCTGGAAACACCCCTCCCCATACTGGAACTCCTCCTATCTAAAGAGGCCATGCAGGACGACGTGAAGTACATCATCAACGGGGATCCCCTTTCTTCCCTCTTCAGTTACGAACTTGGTCAGATAAAACCTCCACCCGAAGAAACAATGCCTGCTACCATGAAAAGGAAGCGTGATCGCAAGGCAGAGAATGCTCGGAGAGAGGCCAAGCGCGCCGAACAAGCAGCTACCAACGCTGGATCACGCGCACCAAAGAGAATTCGCCGTGCTACATCGAATACAACGGACAACGAGCTGGATGAGCAAGGCCAAGGTCAGGAGGTTCCAGATGACCCGCCAAAAGCGACTTCATCTACGTCGGTTCTACAATACTTGCCAAGCGGGCAAATGAGCACGCCTCTTTTGGTCGATTCTGTTGGACACAGAGACTCGTTCCTGATGTTCGAGGCTGGATGGATCTTACCAGAAGGCCAGAAGCGTGGCGGAAGATCGTCGACGCTGACTGCACCACAACTAACTCCAGTGCCACCGAAGAAATGTATGTTTTGTATCCCATGTGTATCGCAGACCTTTAGCTGATTGTATGTCTCTCTGTTCAGCTCAGCATAGGAGGAAGAGTGCGTGTCATTCTAACTAGTTCACTCGCCTAAATTCGCTTACCATGTTTTCATTCTGTCTAGGTCGCGCAAAATCCTCGTTGGGTGTTTTCAGTACGGGCGAATCCGAGAACCTGACGCTGAGCGTGGAGAGTAATATACCTCCTCAAGATCTACCGGCCACTCCAGAACACGTTGAAGAGGAAGTACTGGCAGAAAACCTGTCGGATGACGATGTGAAGGAAAGGCCTTCAGATCAGGTATCTACGGCAGGGTCTCCACAAGACGAGCCGGACATGATGTTTGATGAAGAACACGAGGAAGAGCCACCACAAGAACCTCTTGACATTACGACAGAACCGCCACTCACACCGATGGTGCTATCGCCGCATCGTGATTCTTCACATACGCCTCCCTCGCCAATAAGACCAAGAGATTTCTCCCCGCTGCCAGAGGGTGTACAGACCCCCATGGTTATCGATTTACCTGTCTCAGCGGTGAGGGATGAACCTATGGTGGTGGACAGCCGACCTACTGCCACACCGGATCGTACGATTGGCATCAAATTAGAGCAGGTTGCCTACGTTCTAACAGACCGTCAAACAAGCGCCTCTGAAACGGAAATCGGGAATGACGTCGAACCTGATATTGGTACCACTTCTCAACTTGACGCAGAGATCAATGCCGAACTTCATGCCGACACTGAGGTTCATCCAGCAGAAGTTGATACCCAGGTTCATCCCAAGGTTGACGAGGCTCTTGAAACTGATAACGACGACGTTCATGAACCTCAGATCGACGATGTCCCTGAACCAGAAATCAACGAGGTCCCTGAACTTGAAATTCGCAGAGTTGGTGATCTTGAAGTCGACGAAGTCCATACACAGCTTCCGCGTGTTGACGCACATGCTCCTGAAGTCGACACGGAGCCTCAGGAGGTCGCTACGCAAGTTCATGTTGACACCCAAGCCCTTCCAGACGAGGAGGAGGTTCATTCCGAATTTATACAAGATCATGCCGGCGATGACGGCCAAATTCATGCAGAGGTCGACGTTCATGATATATCGGATGTTGCTTTGGGTGACCAAGCCGGCATTGATGCCCCCATAGAACCAGAAGCCCGCATGGAGATGCAACCTCCATCTCATGATATATCGGCTGCTGCTTTGGGTAACCAGGTCGATATTAATATCAGCGTAGAACCAGAAGCAAACATGGAGGTGCAAACGTCACCAGTGACAGGCATCACAGTCCAAATCGAAGCTTCTGCTCCCCAAACCGCTCCATCTATCCAGCTACGTGACGATGATATGCCGATGGCTAACGTTGATGCCTCGATTGTCGATATTCACCCGCCTGAGGTTGTGCTGGAGTCGCAGTCCGAAGATGTCAATGTTGAGCCAGAATTTACACCAACAGACGATGATATCATGCCTCGCCAGGAAGAAGCGCTTCCGAGGCGCGTTGAGCCGACTGGAGATCAAGCAGACGTTGAAATGGAAGATGCTGCTCCAGCAGAAGCTCCCGGTCCAGTTGAGGTGGACACGTCTGACAAGATCGAGACTCAGGCGTATGGCGATACTAGGACAGAGGGTGATATTCAGGCAGAGGCAACTATTGTACCCGAGGATGCTCCAGTCACCGAAGCAACGAACGATGTTAAGGTGGAGGATACAGCAAAGGATGTCGACGAGACTTCGGAGGACGAGCAAGAGTTGATTCGAAAACGAATCGAAGAGGCCCGTCAAGTCAGGGATCGGCATGGCCGTACTGTTGACGATCTCAAGATGATGCCCAATT